CTGCACATCACCACGTGAAGAACCGCCGCAATCCAGCCAGCAACAGCAAAACAGGAAAACTGTTTACTTTGCATCAAATTCCAAATGCCATATATTGGCTCAGCAATTTAAGCTGTGACCATCACAAGCAACCTACATTAACAATGCACTGACTAATTAGGGTTCAGATAGACAGTTCGGATGAGGAGACAAGGATGCTGAAGAAATAAAGGCTATGAAATAGCAACAGACAAGAACAAAGAATTATAGTGGTTCGGCTGTTGATACCTACATCCACTTTGAATGAGATTGTCTTATTCATCATAACACATCAAGACAGCTCTTTAGAGCTTTATAGATGGATACATCACAAGGAAATAATAAACAATTATACAATGCCCAAGGTAAGCATGCAAAAGTAACAAGCACCCGAAACAAGCATGCTCCATTAGACAAGCATGCTCCACCACTGCACAGCTATCCAACCAATGAATAATATAATAATATAGTATTCCAACACTCCCCCTCAAGCTGGTGCGAAGATATCAATTGAGCCAAGCTTGGACAGAATTTTGTGGAACTGAGCTGAGGGTAACCCCTTGGTGAATATATCAGCTAGTTGTTCACTGCTTCGAACAAAGGATGTTCGAATGATATTGGATTGGACCTTCTCTCTGACAAAGTGACAATCCACTTCAATATGTTTCGTTCTTTCATGAAACACAGGATTAGATGCAATGTGCATTGCAGCCTGATTGTCGCAGAACATATCCATGGGAAGTATAGGATTACACCCCAAATCTCGAAGTAAGGCTTGAAGCCAAATCATCTCACTAGCTGTGGAAGCCATTGCTCTATATTCTGCTTCTGCACTTGAGCGTGCAACCACATTTTGCTTTTTGCTCTTCCAAGTGACTAGGTTTCCACCTACAAATGTACAATATCCGGTTGTGGATCTTCGATCCACTGGACATCCTGCCCAATCAGCATCGCTATACCCAATTGTCTCAGTATGACCGTTGTTTTTCATCAAAATCCCTCGCCCCGGGGTACCCTTCAAATACGAGAGAATTCGGTTTACTGCTTTCATGTGACTGGTTCTTGGGGCATGCATAAATTGGCTAACCAAGCTAACAGCATGAGTAATGTCAGGTCGAGTTATAGTGAGGTAGATTAGTTGCCCCACTAATCTCTGATACTGACCAATATCTGGGAGTAGGTCTCCATCCAAACCAAGTTTTCCTTTGCTATCAATTGGGTTATCCACTGGTTTTGTACCGAGCTTTCCAGTTTCTTGTAGCAAGTCAAGCACATACTTTCTTTGATTCAAAAATAAACCCTTTTTTGAAGAAGCAACTTCAATTCCAAGAAAATATTTCAAGGTACCTAGATCTTTAATAGCAAATTGCTTATGAAGAAGATATTTAACATGATTGATTTCTTCCAAATTGTTTCCTGTGATAATGATATCATCAACATATATCAACAGAGCAGTTGTGCTTGATGCCTTCTTCTTGACAAACAGAGAGAAGTCTGCACTACTTCTTTTAAAACCAGTATATATGAGAAATGAGCTGAGTTTTGCATACCAAGCTCTAGGAGACTGTTTGAGGCCATAAAGGGCCTTATTTAATTTGCAGACTAGACCATGCTGGTTTTCTCGTGGATGTCCAGGTGGAAGGCTCATGTAGACCTCTTCTTCAAGATCTCCATGTAGGAAAGCATTTTTCACATCCATTTGAAACAATGGCCAAGCTTTGTTGGCAGCAACTGATAATAAAACTCGAACAGTATTCATTTTTGCAACAGGTGCAAATGTCTCCTTGTAATCCACTCCATAAGTTTGGGTAAAACCCTTTGCAACAAGTCTCGCTTTATGCCTCTCAATTGTCCCATCGCTTCTAAATTTGATTTTATAGACCCATCGACATCCCACTGGTTTCTTTCCTTGTGGCAGTTTGACAAAGGTCCATGTGTTGTTTTCATCAAGGGCTTGGAGCTCTTCTTTCATTGCTCCTCTCCACACAGACTGTGAATTTGCTTCGTGGAAACTGGTTGGTTCTGACACCTTGGAAATACTGCCCAAGAAAGCTGAATAAGATTGAGACACGTTCTCATAATTTATATGATGTTGGATTGGATACCTTGTAGAATAATAACTGATAAAGTCCTTGTACTTGGTTGGCTTCTGTCGTTCTCTTGATGATCGCCGCAGTTCAACAACAGCAGATTCATTGACAGAAGTATTATTCCTGCCATGCAGTGGTTCAACACACGGTATCTCATTAACTTGATCTGGTACTTCGTTAACCTCTTGTTGATTTTCCAATTGGGAAGAGCCACTTGAATCTTGAACCTGATTGAGAGTTTGTGGGACCACAATAGCATCAATGGTTGGAAGAGGAATAAAGTCAGATAAGTGCTCCCCCTGAACCCCAACTTCAAGTTGTTTTTCAAAAAAACTTTCTGCCTCCTCAAAATAGACATCACGGGAGATAAACAACTTTTTTGTTTTGGGGTCGTAGCACTTGTACCCCTTTTTTGTAGAGGAATAGCCAAAGAACACACACTTGGTGGCACGAGGATCAAACTTATCTCGATGAACAGCTTGAACATGGGCGTAACAAACACAACCAAAGACGCGCAGGTGGGATAAGTTAATCTTTCGTCCCTTAAGCACTTCAAGTGGTGATTTGTACTCAAGGACCCGACTAGGGAGTCTGTTGATTAGGTAAGCTGCAGTGAGAACCCCATGAGACCAATACCTTTTTGGAACATTCATATGAATCATGAGAGATCGAGTCTTTTCTAAGAGATCGCGATTTTTCCTCTCTGCTATTCCGTTTTGTTGTGGGGTACCAACACAGCTGGTTTCATGAATAATTCCTTGATCAATCAAATATTCAGATAAGAGACTTTTGACATATTCTGTTCCATTATCGGATCGAAGGACTTTAATTCGAGAGTCAAACTGATTCAGCACCATTCTATGGAATTCCTTGAAAATATGAGTAACCTCCCTTTTTGATTTCATCAAATACAACCATGTAGCTCGAGATACATCATCGACAAAGGTAATAAAGTATTTAAAACCATCAAATGACTCTAAAGGAGCAGGGCCCCAAAGGTCAGAGTGAATTAAATCAAAAGGTCTGTCAACTTTAGAAACAGAGGAAGTAAAAGGCAGCCGGGTCTGCTTGGAAAAATGACATGTCTCACATGCATGACAGTCGACAGGCAAGGAAGGGAAGAGATGCCTCTGGACTTTACTAGATGGATGAGCCAACCGTTGATGCCATAACTGACCATTCTGAACAGAATTGACTTGGAGAGCTTTTGGATTTTTAACTGGTTGATGTACCAGGTACAAGCCATTGGAATAAACACCTTCACCAATCATCCTCCCCGTGGTCCGGTCCTGGAAAACCACATCATAAGGAGAGAATATAACATTGCAGTTTAATGTGTTAGTCAATTTTCCAACAGACAAAAGTTGAGTAGGAAATGAAGGAATATATAAAGCTGTAGAGCAGGCCTCAGAGTCTAGAAAATTGACTTTTCCGTGACCAAGAACAGGGACATAATCACCATTGGCTACAGAGACTCTTTGGTTGTTGTTGGAGGTTTGAAACTCATGCATACAACTTGAATTATTGGTCATATGGTCCGTGGCACCAGTATCAACAACCCAAATATCAGAGTTTGTATTGAGCGAAAGCAAGGCAGATGGGAGAGCATGGATGATACCTGATGCCAATGAAGCAGATGAAGCATCCAAGGAAAGTGTTTGAGATTTACCCATTTGTTGTAACAGTTGGGTGACTTGACTGATTAATGCCCATGAGTTGGTCGAACTGGTTGAGGCCTCAGGTTTACTCATTTTTTGCAGCACTTGCAATAGTTGACTGGTTACGGCTGCAGGTGTTAGAGTTGCTGCAATCATTGAGTCTTCATTTGTTACTTGATGAGCTGCCTTTTCATGTGGACCTACTGCCTTCTCAGATTGAGTTGAAGCCTTGTTGATATCTCTTCCATTCTTTGGCTTTAAGTGTGGATGGAGAATCCAACATCTGTTTCTAGTGTGTCTGGGTTGTCCACAATAATCACACTTCACAGGATCCCTTTGTCCCTTTCTTCGGTCAACTACAAATGCCTTTGACTCTGAAGTCACAGTATGTGACTTTGTTTCACTGTGCATCACTTTCCTTCGGATTTCTTCTCTTTGAATAATGGTACAAATATTGTTAAAGGAAGGCATCTCAGTACTCATGAGAATATTTCTTCTAAGATCTTCATAGTCTGAATCAAGACTTGCAAGCAACTGAAAAATTTTATCTTCCTCTGCCCTCTGCACAAGAACCTTAGAATCAGTCGTATGAGGTCGATACAGGGCAAGCTCATTCCACATACCTTTCAATTTCCCAAGATGCTCAATGAAGGATTTTCCCTCTTGATAAGCTCCTGCAATTTCTTTCTTTAACTCAAAAATTCGGGCTGCATTGTTTTGCTGCCCATACATCTCTTTAAGGGACTCCCACAAGTGTTTAGAGGAATCTGAGTAGCTGAAGATTTCAGCAACTTGTGGCTCCATGGAATTTAAAATCCAAGACATAACAAGTTGATCCTTTGACAGCCATTCTTCAAATTTTGGATCACCATCATCTGGGGCTGGATTTTTTCCATTAATAAATCCCAGCTTTGATTTTCCTCCAAGAGCTAAAGTAACAGCTCTGGACCAAGGGATATAATTGAAACCATTCAAGAGAACAGAGCAAAGCCTCATGTTTGGATTTGCCTCAAACTCAGAAATGCCAGCAGCTGTAGCATTAGTAACAGTAGCGGTAGACTCAACTTTTTCTCCCATGGAAGAGAAAACAACGGAGAAGACAACCGACTAAATAAAAGGAGAAACAGGTGGGCTTCTACCACACCTGCTCTGATACCATGAAGAAATAAAGGCTATGAAATAGCAACAGACAAGAACAAAGAATTATAATGGTTCGGCTGTTGATACCTACATCCACTTTGAATGAGATTGTCTTATTCATCATAACACATCAAGACAGCTCTTTAGAGCTTTATAGATGGATACATCACAAGGAAATAATAAACAATTATACAATGCCCAAGGTAAGCATGCAAAAGTAACAAGCACCCGAAACAAGCATGCTCCATTAGACAAGCATGCTCCACCACTGCACAGCTATCCAACCAATGAATAATATAATAATATAGTATTCCAACAGATGCCATCTCCATCCGCATACAACCATTCTCCCTCATGAATCAAGACCCCTCCAATACTTACAGGAACATGCTTTTGGCCAGACCCAGAGTCGTTTTTGATAGGTCTCACTGGACAAGTTGCCAAAGCTCTCAACCCAATCTCACATTCATTGATCTCATCCACATCTCTCACGCAACCATTTATCACAATCCCAGCCCATCCCATAATCTCAGCCGAACGAGCCAGCATCCCTCCGGTGACAGCACGTCGCATGCTTCCTCCTCCATCAACCACTAAAACCCTACCCTCGCCTTTCGTGGAGAGAAGCTCGATAACCAAAGTATTGTCCTCAAACACCTTCAGCGTCACGACAGGGCCTGCGAATGCCTGCCATTTTCCATATTTCTGGAACACTTGCGGCACAAGACGCAGGTCTCCACTGGCCAGAAGGTCAGGATGTGCATCGCAAATGTCGGTTGTTGCTAAAGCAGCGGCCGCCAGGTTTCTCCTGTACTCCGAGGACACGCCAACAACCTGAAATCTCTTCTCGAGGTTTAGCCAAAGCTCACGCGACGAAGCGAGTCCTGCTGTGAATGGGAGGACGTGTTCAGAACATGTTGACCTCATCCAGGTTAACATGGCCTGATCCTTGTCGTGCCAAATCTCAAAGGCTGGATTAATTTGATCAGTGAGATCATTTCCTTCCTTGTCCGTCCAGAACTGAGCTGGACAAGGTTCGCTGCCATCAATAATTCCCATGAGCTTGTAACGACTAAAGATTTGCTCGAAAAGTAGCTTCCAGAAAAAGTAATTCTGGCGCTGCAGCTTTGCAGGTATCACTGTAGCTATTTTCTTTAGGGTGACAGAGGTATATGACTATCCTTGAATTCCACGGCTGGTTGGAACAGATTCGATCATTGTAGTTTCAATGTGTTTAATTGATTAGCTCTAAAGAGTGTTTGTTTGGCTAGAAAATAGGAAAGGAAAATTTCTCTTGATAGAGAACTTGTAATGCCCTACTTGAGGCTTTTAAGTTGTTGCAGCTGCTGGAAGATCGAATCTTGGTAACGCCCCTCAAAAGATTTGATAAAATTTAATATCTGTAATAATATTGGAGAGATTTGTTGTGAAATAAACAGTATATACAGGAATATTAAGATATAAAATAAATGAAACACAATATTTAACGAGATTCAACCATACTTATGCCTTCGAAGAGATTTTCCACCACGTAAAATAATAAAACTACAACTTTAGTGTTTACAATCTCTCTGACTCATTTATTTTTCTCTCTTAGAGAATTTCTCTCTTCTCTTTTTTCTCTCCTCTGGTGTGTCAAGTAAAGGAAAGAGAAGCTTTATTTATAGGCAGAATTCTGTGACTGTTCACTGACGAGCCTTTTTGCTTCACGTGGATGTTGTCGGACAAGCTTCACTATTATTGACCTTTTTGGGGTCGTTTGGTACGGCGGACTGTCATGGACTGGACTAAATCCTGGGACTGTCTTGGATTAGCTCGGATTGGACTAAGCTGGATTAAGTACTGACCTATGTTTGGTGTTGTGTCGGACTAAAAAATAATTATTTTAATAATTAATTTGAATTATAAATAAATAAAATTCTAATATTTATTTTACTATCTGATATTTACTTTTAATTAAGGATTTTGACCTAAAAATAAATAATAATAAAAACAAATAAATTTTAATATTTTTTAAAGGCTAAAATTATCTTTATCTCTTTTTTTTTTCTCCTTTTTATCCATTTCTTCTTCCTTTCCTTCCCAGCCCGTCTTTTATTTTTATTTTTATTTTTATAATCTTTCTTCCTATCTTCTTCTTCCTCACGACTTTTGATCCTTCTCTCATTTTTGCTTTTTCTCAAATTTTCTCCCTGCCAAAAACTCTTCAGTTGTGATTCTCTCACAAATTTCATCAATTCTTTCTCTAATTTTCTTCCTAATCACTTTTCATTACTCAATTTGTTCATACGATGAACGATTCAACTCAATCTCAAAGCTCACCATCATCTTCTCCACTCTCTGCATCTGCCATGGCTGCTTCGACTCTTGCGTCAATTCAATGAATCATGGCCTTTATTTGAGACCCCCCCAAAGTTGGGGCCCATGGTCGTCGCCTTCCAAGCTCAGGGCCGACACCGTGCGCTATTCTGATAGCCAAATAGAGACCCAAGCCTCGTCGTCCCTGACCCACATGTACGACCAAAGCTCGGCCTTCGGCGACCATTAGCAGCAGCAAGATCTCAAGGCGATTGCTGGGTTTCAAGCCTTTTTGATGAACTTGGGCTCGGAAGTGGAGGACTTGGCGTCCATTGCCCAGACTCGTGTCTAGGTGAAGAAGAAGAAGAAACTGGTATCGCGTTGGACTCGCGTGTTCTGTTTAGTGAGCTCGCTATTTTGTGAACCATGTTTCAAGCTCGCTATATTGGACGTGCGAGTGAGGCAATTTTTTTTACTATTGGACAATATAGTCTCATTTAAGTTAGTCCCCTCACTTACCAAACATGGGTTTCAAGTACAATTTAACCCAGTCCAGTCCAGTGAGGCCTTCCAAACATGCCCTTTGTGGACTACAACGGTTAGTGACTGTAAGCCACAATTGTTTTCTTTTCTCACAAAAAATCTCTCATACATTGAAAACGTGGCCAAATTGAAATAGAATACAAGCCACATGAGACACATGCAAGCAGTGGCGGATTCATGAATTTTTTAGGGGAGGTGCAAAATGTCACTCATAATTAAAACAAATAAAAGTTTTACGTCTACAACTAATTGATTATAGTCTATATAAAAATCAATTAATATGAACAAAATCCTTGTCATTGACACAGTTAGTTTACCAAAATTCATATCAAATATGAACAAAATCCATGTCAATTACATAATTAATCTAACAAAAGTTAATACCAATTAATCTAATCAAAAGCACATGTAAATTGGAGGTCATGAAATAAACGTACATGTGATTAGAAGTTTGGGGTAATTTTCGGTGAATTTTTTGGCACACATATGAGCAGGACCGGCCCTGACATTTTGGTGGCCCATGGCCAAAAATTAAATGAGGCCCTTAGTATATATGTTTTATTTTTAATTTGCTCATTCATTTTTCTTTTTATGGCAAAGCCCCATAAAACGATTAAGCCTGAAAAGTACATGATCCATAAACAACCTGCTTAAATAGAATAATTTCATTCAACTAACAACAACAAAAAACCAGAAGTACATGATCCATAAACAACAAAAATCATATTTAACTTCAATTCAACAAAACAAAACAAAAGATCTTAAATGGCTTAGTGGCTCTTCAATAGGGCTTAGTTCTCAAGTGGCTCAATTGTACACAAACAGCAGCTTTGACCTCCACTCTATCATCTACAAATCAAAAAACAAAAGCTGTAACATTAAAAATACAAACAATCACTGAAAAATTCTTGATCTTCTAGCATTTTGAGAAGCAAAATCATCAATAACCTCTTCAAAATCAATATTTTCCAACATATTCTTTTCAATACATAAGATTGCCAATCCATTTAACCTTTCTTGTGACATAGTTGATCGCAAATAAGATTTTATCAATTTCAATTTTGAAAAACTTCTTTCTGCAGATGCCACAGTTACAGGCAGAGTCAATATAATTCTATAAGCAATTGAGACATTTGGAAAACAATCCACAACTTTTACAAACTCAAGAACTTCAATGGCTGTCTTTGTCTCTTTCGGTAAATACATTTGTAACACTTCCAATTCAGAAAACAAATCATCAGCATTAATATCAGATTCATTATCATGTGTTAAAGCAACTTCAAGATTTCTACAACATTCACGCAATCTAATATAATTCATTTGAAATAAATTCTTAGGATCAAACAAAAAACCAAAAATGCCTTCAAATATTTCTAATTGTTCAAACCTACTCCTCAAAGAAGAAATTGCAGCATCAACTACAACAAGAAAATAATTAACCCTAAAAGATTCTTCAGCATATTGAAATATCTCTTTATGGTAATTTTCATCAAATTGTTTTTTTCTTCGACTTTGACGTTTTTCAGGAAATATAGGGTCAATTTCCATCTTTGATGCAATCTCTTTAGCAGAAAGTAGGGCCAATGTGA